CTCGCAGTGGATAACGGATTGTTTTTATAGCATCGAGCAGTACGGTTCAAAAGTTCTTTATTAACTCCTCTTCCTGGAAGGCGCGCACGCTATGCTGAACTAAACACCCCATCAGAAGTGATGGCACCAGCTTCAGCCAGAATACTTCGCTGGTAACATACTGAAGAGCGTTCGATCTGATGAACCACTTGGAACAATCCACCTTGAAGACTCTGAAGCCAATTTTGAGCGATTGTTCAGAATTCCTCTTTCGTTCGAGTAAAGCTCCAACCTTTTTGGGCCGGTGGGGGGCAGAACAAACTTTCCTTGTAATACCTTTCCAGTGTTCCTAAAATGTTAGATAGCTCTCTAGATGGCCGATATTGAGCTCAAAAAACGTTTTGTAAGCATTTAGGATACATTTTATGGAAAAGCAAAACGAGCGCACGCATCGAGGTAACGAACCTTGATGTCACTACCTAACAGTCGTGTAACACTATCCGCTAGGCCACCGTTTCAGAAGTGAAAGGATTGCTCGGCTTGGTAATCCGTTCATTGTAGTGGTAACACAGGGAGAGTCTGGTCCCGTAAGTGTTCCCAGAATCGCTTAGCAGATTTGAAACACAAATTTGAGGACAGCGTTTGAAGGCCATTCAAGATGAGATGTATACCACCTACGGCGGTATACATCTCATCTTGAATGGCCTCTGCGACCAAGTATCCTTCCCTTGTAAGATCATAAATAAGCGGAGCAGTCTGTATTCTGGTCATAAAACGGAAAAGTCCGTCGGATCAGGGAAACCCAAGCTACTTTGAATGAACTATTGGATCACTTATTCTCATGAGATCATGCTTCCATATTTCAGCAATCTTTGACGGGCATTTCACCGATCGTGTTCTGGACATCCTCGTTCCTCTTCGATTTCCTCTTCTACTCCATTGTTTGCGCATGTTTCTTGGCAGTGTTCATAATATGTGGTTGGATGGAAGGGTATCTCGGATTGTGAGTTTGATTTTTTTTAGCATTTCTCTGACACCAGCATTTTTGTGAGGTAAAATAAAATATGGAAAAATGAAGATTTTCTCGGATTTGTTTCAGCGTGATACTGCTGTTCGCTCTATACTTTTGGTCATGTGTGCCATTCATTTACGCCATTTCCTTCTTATTTTCATCGCCATCGAAGGCGAACGTTTTCCTTATTCTTTGGCAGTTGGTGGCTGCTTACGCTGCTATGATGTCCGTGGTTTTCTTCAGTCTCGGTGAAATGATACAGTCGCAATTCATCGAAATGATCAGGGTAATGAATATTTCAGTTCTTTTCCCCTTATTGCTTCGGCAACTTGTAAAGACGAACTGTCGTGCTAGGTTAATTTTAACTGTCGTGCTAGGTTAATTTTATTTCTGATGGAAGTCGTTGGCTTCTTGCTAGCTCCCGACCACCTTAGCGACGCGGGGTGATTGATTTCCTTGCGCTATTTCAGAAATGGATGCACTTCTGAGCCTTCCCTTATTGTGTGGTGGGCACTGGTCTTTGGTAATTAGTCACTAGTACGTTGATTGCTAATGTGTGGTTCACAACAGCTTGTTTTACGTGACGTGTTCGCTTGATCCCTGCTGCATATAACGCGCTAAGGGGGTGTGCGTATGTTTGTGTATGTATGTGACCAGAAATTCACAACTCTCATTCCCGTGGACCTGGAATGTTCCAATTTGGTACTGTACAGGTGGCAGTATTAGAGCATTGATGGTAGGTGGTAGAAAGTGTCTTAACTGAACCCGCCAATGTAGGGCGTAAGGGAAAGGTGGTTGAAGGGGACGTAAGGGGCGAGACATGCTTGAAATGAGCATATTCTGAGAAAAGATACGCAGTTAAGTTAGACTAAGTTCAGAATGCATTAAGTTACTCAAACAAAAAGGACTCGGGCAGGAGTTTGCTTATGTAGGGCGAGGCGCGCACAAAGTGTGGTTTGTGTGTGTTTTGCTGGAACTCAATAACACTTGTTCTCTTGGAGCGTCCAGATTTGGAAAAAGCCGAAGGCGGGTCAACTTCACCATAACTACATAGATGGGTAGCTCGGCGTTAAATGGGAAATCTGATTATTATATCAGATTTAATGCCATAGCGTTTAATAGCTGATGACGCCGAGCTGGATATCTGAACTAGTCTTTGAACTGGCCTCTGACCAGGGAAGGGTTTCAACTTCCCATGGAACTTTGAATGGAGACCTAGGTATATCGACAGGGCTTGTAAAGTTATTAAGAAATATGGAAATTGAAACTGCAAAATGAGTCTACCAAAAAAGTTGTGAACGTTCAAAGTTTGCATGCTTAAGCATGGAGACATAGTGCCAGTTGATAAGCCCAGCTGC